CCGTTTCCACTGAAAGTAAGTGATCAAAGAAAACCGGTCAAGCATTGTTTAATTAAGTTCAAGGGTAGGAAACACTCAATATCGTTATGATATAAATCAATCACTAAAATTCATCTGAATTAGAAAAAACAAGTCATGTATACTCGAGAAAATAATCACCTGTACTCAAAAAGGAAGCTTGCCAGACGTGAATACAAGGGATAAGCATTAGCCTAACAACAAAGTTTCACCTTCAGGCATCGGTATGAAATGATCACACACCAGTATGACAGGCTTGTAGTGAATAGGCCAAGTGTCCGATATCAGATCAACCAAGGAGAGTTGGGTACAGTAGTTGTTTAAATATTCATTCAGTGGTCGTGGTAACTTCAAGAGTATGTAGCTAGATAATCAGATGATTATTAATTTAAAGTGCACTCATCAATCTCGATAGATTTCGGAAAAAATCATTTTAAGCACCAAAGTACCAGAAACGCATTTGAGTGTTTATTATGAACAGCATACAACGAAACTATATTTTATAGTGGATCGTTTCGATTTCTGTGAATAGATAATTCCAGAAGATGCTATCTTTACCTTATAATTTGTAGACGGTTTCACGCTGAGAGCATAAAATGTTGATACATATGATGACTGAAGAAACTGTTGTATCTAGTACATGAATACTGAACTGATAACGGCATAGTCTTTTGGGTCGTTAACTAGCGCTTTGTAAAAGTGGATTTTGTGATAAATAATTTATGAGGCAGTAAAGGAGATTTGTTACTCAGGATTAAGATGATAACTGTTCAATTGGAAGGTATCCTGGCCAACAATGGACTGGATGGCTTGAAAAAACTTGGGCACCGAGTTAGTATGATTAATTGTATAGGATGTATTTTTACTTGTGTAATCCCGGTGTAGTATATTAGAATAAATAACAAAATAAACAAATATTTTGTATCATTCCTCAACGTTTCGATCTTGCTAGGAAGGTCCTTTTCAAGAGTATGAATCTGACACTAAGTTTTCATTAAATTTTTGAGGGAGTTGTGGAGATTTGGAAACATTTCAAGTTGTGTATTCATTGCAGACTGACATCAGTTGGAGGAACAAAGGAAACCTGGGAGCACTGGACAGCTGTTTCGTCCTAGTATGGGGCAGTGGGTGCGCATTGCTGAGGACGAAACAGCTGTCCAGTGCTCCCAGGTTTCCTTTGTTCTTCCAACTGATATCAGTCTACCATGAATAACAACTTGAAATATTTCCAAATCCCCACAACTCCCTCAAAAATTTAATTAAACTGGTGTTCATTGGTGACTAGCTTCGGAAGTATTCCAGAAGTTCCAATGACAAGTCGTGACCGGTGGAGTCAAAGCCTGATGGCCGTGAGGACAGATACTCAACGATGACATTGGGCGGCGGTTGCGCTATATCGTGAGCTAACAAAAGTTTGAAATATGGAGCACTGGATTCCGACCCAGTGGCTCAATGGTAAAACGCTGGCCGCGGAACCTGAAGGTCGCGGGTTCGATCCCTGCTGGTGTGAGGTCGTGGGTGTGCACTGCTGAGGAGTCCCATACTAGGACGAAACAGCTGTCCAGTGCTCCCAGGTTTCCTTTGTTCCTCCAGCTGATGTCTGTCTACGATGAATAACAACTAAGTTTTCCGGTTAATATTCAAGTTGTGGTACACAAAGTGGTGACCTTTACAATCATCCAATTACATAGTGATATTGAGCAAAGATCAATGTAATACAGATGGGTGAATAAGTAACTCGGTCAGAGAGGTATTTCCGTTGTGCGAGTAAGGTGGAACAAAAATAGGGTGGGGAAATTTTTTAGTTCGTCTATGAAAAGTACAATGGAGTTGTGAGACATCGATGGTGAGAAAGAATAGATTACTAGTTTGGAAGGATGAATATTTTGAGATGAGACAATATATCTTAAATAAATAATAATAATGATAACCATAAATGTACTTTTGAAAACACTTGAAGTATGAGTGATAACAAAATGGATTATGTTATGGTTCATCGAATGTATATGACTCAGAGAGTAGTGTAAAATTGATGAAAATAGTAGATCAATAAGGTGTATGTAATAAGACTGAACAATCTACCTTCTCTTCAGATATTATTTATAACTGCCTAGGCGAGTCATTAATGTTTGCCATATTAGTGGGATGTCTAACCCATCTTTTCTGTTGACGGAGGAAGGATGTGAGCAGATGTGCAAGGCTTCTGCAATCAAAGTCTAACAACCTGTATGCTTTCATCAATCGGAATATTAGTATACAGAGGAAAAACGTCAAAGCTAACCATTATTTCATCATCTTCAATCCTTGTTTGTAATACTTTACGTTTGAAGTATGATGAATTCTTAATGATACTTACCAAATTGTCTTGTAACGGTTTTAAGGATTTTTATGAGGTACTTTGAAAGGTTATATGCTGGGGAATTCGTAAAATCCACAATTGGACGAATCGGAAAATTGGGTTTCTGAGTTTTGGGAAGGCCATAGAAACGTGAAGCAGAGATATCACTTCAAGTACTAACACGTCTAGCCGAACACAGTAGAAATTCCAAAAAAACCACCAAAAAATTCCTATGATCTAGAAAAACTTGAAAAAAGCTCTGCCATCGCAGCTCATGCCCTATATTCAGGTCATAAAATATCATTCGAACAGACAAAACTTCTGCAAACGGGTTTTCTCTCTCACAAAGAGCGGACCATTGCAGAAGCTTTGCACATCTGCTCACATCCTTCCTCCGTCAACAGAAAAGATGGGTTAGACATCCCACTAATATGGCAAACATTAATGACTCGCCTAGGCAGTTATAAATAATATCTGAAGAGAAGGTAGATTGTTCAGTCTTATTACATACACCTTATTGATCTACTATTTTCATCAATTTTACACTACTCTCTGAGTCATATACATTCGATGAACCATAACATAATCCATTTTGTTATCACTCATACTTCAAGTGTTTTCAAAAGTACATTTATGGTTATCATTATTATTATTTATTTAAGATATATTGTCTCATCTCAAAATATTCATCCTTCCAAACTAGTAATCTATTCTTTCTCACCATCGATGTCTCACAACTCCATTGTACTTTTCATAGACGAACTAAAAAATTTCCCCACCCTATTTTTGTTCCACCTTACTCGCACAACGGAAATACCTCTCTGACCGAGTTACTTATTCACCCATCTGTATTACATTGATCTTTGCTCAATATCACTATGTAATTGGATGATTGTAAAGGTCACCACTTTGTGTACCACAACTTGAATATTAACCTGAAAACTTAGTGTTAAATTCATACTCTTGAAAAGGATCTTCCTAGCAGGATCGAAACGTTTAGGAATAATACAAAATATTTGCTTATTTGGTTTTTTGTTCTAATATACTACGCCGGGATTACACAAGTAAAAATACATCCTATCAATGAATAACTGTTCAATGTTTTTTGGGTTTTTAAGTTTGCTCCTGGACGTTTCATCATCATCAGAAACCATTCCATAAAATAATTCTTCATTGTTTTACTTTGCTTCCCACCCTACGTGCTAGATCCCAATAGACTTAGAATACAATAGAAACCAAATCATATTTGTGACAAACAAGCCAGAAAGCCTTATGTTCTCAAATTCAGTATGTAGTTTTAAATTCGTTTCCTGACGCTTAATGAAACAACAAAATTGAATAACTAAGTGTATTACGAAGATTGATTATCCATACAGTAATCTTGCTAAGGTAGAAGATTCTTTTAAATTCTATTCTTGAAAGCAATAAACTACAGGTCAATTAAAACAAATATCACACTGTCACACTGGACTTGTAACAATCGTTCATTTCAATTAATAATTGAAGCATTGTAGGGGAATTGGTTACAAAGGATTTGTTATAACTTGCTTTATTTACAAAAAGCTATTGAAAACATCATCATTCAAGGTAATTTATCATTTATCATCAAATGATTTCTGCAATAACAAGAGTATTTAAATAATATAGCATTCAAATTTTTAACTTTCGTAAAGACTTATGATTGTTTGTGTTTCTCAGAGTGGCAGGGGAAATGTAGACTGCCTGGTTTGGGTCACATAGACGAAAGGGAACTGTGGTTGAGAATTCATGAGCACATGGCTGAAAATCGGTCAAAATCGTGCAGATGTATTTAATCCTTGACATCTAAAGCTTGAATTTCGTATTAACTGTTACCTTCAGATTGTATATTTCGTCACATTACTTTATCTACTTTGATATCAGTCCTTTCCTATCCACCTGTTCTTTTCATACTACAGTGAAATGTGGCAACTTGAACACTTGTATGCGAGGTTATACGTTTATTTTGTCAGTCAGTCAGTCAGTCAGTCAGTCAGTCAGTCAGAAGTGGCAGTCAACATATTGTGTGATAGCATTGTGGATTAAAGCTAACTGCTGTCGCTTCGTCTTTAGAAAACAACATTTTAACTACCATTGACATCGTTACAACCTCTAAGTGGATTATAAAATTGCCAAACAGCTGTCGAATAACTGTGTGTCAGAATGAGAAGGAGTATTACCAACAACTAACAAATAATAAGCCTTGCCAAAACATTTATTCATGATCTTTTCGGTTGCTGAAATCAAAACTTGTGAACTTAAAATTGGGTATAGGCTAAATAACCGTGCTTATGGAGGATAATTAGTAGGTATGAAATTGTAATATGCGAACTACATTCACATTTTTCAGAAACTACGAGTCCGACAATAATCTTAGCCGAGAACAATCATAAAGCTGTTTATTCACTGTTGCTATTCAGTTTCTCGAAGTAAACTTCTTCAGTTTCAGTCGTGATCGATTAAGCAGATACTTCTATTTGCTAAAACCCAGTCGTTACATAATACAAAATATTAAAACCCCTTATGGTATCTGCAAACGACTCTTCACACTTCAAAGACTGTTAGGAACGAAAATTCTCTGCACTTTGTGGTTCAAAACAGTTATCTTTTTTGAAATCTTCTTTAGGAAAAACTACGTATGGTCCACTGCTTATGGATACTGCATCAAAAGAACTCATATCGTCAAACAGTTCTGAAGTGATGAAGCCAGTGTACATATCAAATCGCTTTCGAATACTTATGGGTATAATGGGGTTGGGAGCAATTCTGTTGTGTTGTCTTTTGGCCATTCTTATATTTCTTCGATTCTGTTCAAAACATTCTGGATCCATTGAAGGAAATAGGTAAGCAGAAAAGGCTCTGCATTTCGTTAAATTTCAAATGTCATTTTGTCAATTCTCAAGGCTGTCACTGGTGTCAGGTCAAATTACGAATATTTCCCGAAATTCTGAGGTCTAGCTGAAATATCTCAAATGCGCATTTTCATTGTGCTCTGTTATATCCCCAACAGACGTCATGAAAGGCAGTAAAAACCAACGCTTGGCTATGGCCTGAGTACTACATCACTTAGTAGATTCGGTAGTCGTATGATCTGTGAGCAGTTTCGCCAATAAGTGATCTGTGCAATAAAGAGTTCACAATGGTCTACAAGCAAAGACCATTTACTCTAGCAATCTGAGTTGTTTGAAAATAACCTGAGCACAAAATTTTCCCCAGACTAACATGACCTAATATGTCACAAAGTTATGTCTGTCTCTAGGTATATGGATGAACATAGAAATCTTTTAATATAATATTTTTGTTTCCTCACCTAAATGTTTAGATTACCAATAGGTTGACAGAAAAAAATGGGCTAAATTTCGGTAGTGCTAGACGAAGGAGTCATAAATTATCTGATAAGTGAATAATTGTAATCCAAACTGCAATATGAATAATGTTTCTAGTTAGTACTTGCAATATTTTCGCATAAAGCATGTGTATAAGCCCAACCATGGAGCAAGTAATAACTTAGAATATGCGACATGTCGGTCTACCGGCTGAATGTAAAGTTAGATATAAGAATAGGATTTTGGAACACTGAAAACTTTCAGGTTGATTAAACTGTAACAACTTCACATGTGAAAAGTCAACTTAGTCATCCTTCCATAAACTTCCAACTGAGTAATTAATCTTACCACATCAGTAAACCATCTTCAGGAGTCAAAGTTGCTTATTAAGTGAGAAGAAATCAATTCAAGTTCAGTACTCCTTGATGCAATGTTAGAATGCATTGTCATATTTATGAACATATGCTTTCGGAGACTCGAAATAACAGTTTAGGATTTAGAAGTTTCAAGCACTTTGTGATGAAATTCTATTTCGGTGAATTTTTGGGGACTTACAGATGTTAAGTTAGTATTCATCGTAGACTGAAATCAGTTGGAGAACTATGGAAATCCTGCGAACAATAAACAGCAGTTCAGTTTGGATGTCATTTGTGTACACTACTGAAAATTTGAATACTAGGTTGAAGCAAATGAGATGAACTTTCCGGAAGTTCCAATAAGAAATCACAACGGTAAGGGAAAACCAAATCGGATATGAGGACAAATACCCAACAATGGTGCTTGGCGAAGGTGGGGCTATATCGAAAGCTGACAAAGGTAGGAAAATATGAGTAATTGGATACCAACATAGTAGGCAAATGGCGATGTACTTTCTGTGAAACCTGGAGATCTCGTATCTAATCCCTGGTGTGGTCATTGGCGTGCACTGCTGAACAATCCCATATTAGTAGGAAACAGCTTTCCAAAGCTAGCGTGAAATTTTTGACGATTCTCCATAGTTCGTTAGAAATTAATTTGAGAGCTTCAAGAGTCAGTTGTATCTCATTCTTAAGAGAGTGCACATTTACGACTTTACTATACATGTTGAAATTCTAATAATATTGAAAATAACAATGATCTTAGTTGATGCATTAATCTCAGAATACAAAATGAATATTCAGTTTCTTTTACTTAACATTTAGACAAATGGAAACGGTCCTTGTTCCTAATTCATCAAACGGTCTCATAAATGAAAATACAGAGAAGCATATGGAGTGCGATTTTCAACTTGAAGGTATGTGACTTCATCTGAGAATCAAAATTACCGAGAATAAACTAATATTTTCAGATTTATCACTGTCTCATACGTTTAGATTTCGAGTTCTGGTTTACTTGAGAAACTTTCAACTTATATATGATTCGGCAAGCTTCTGTTTTACGCACATTGCTTGAAGTCAAAATACTTCACTTATTTAAAACTGTTTGGGGTCATATAATACATAACAGTGTGATCCAAGACAAATTGTATACAAAACTAAGTTGTTTTATATGTCATTTATTCTTTTTCTAGTTTTACTTGTATTACTGAACTCCACATAGATTTAGCGTGCATGCGTTTCATGAATCAGTCATTCAGTATCCACATGCTACCAGACATTATTGAGTAGCGATTCCTGTGGTTAAATGTGAGTTCATTTCATCAGACATGAAGCAATTTTAAGAAGATGGAGGAAACGTAAATTATATAATCACAGGCTGTATAAATCCTCACAAATAAGCTAAGACAAATAGCGAAGTATGACGCAATGATAATAATAAACAAACGGCATGGAAGCCAGATGTTTCACTGTTTTCCATTCTGAAACATATTACCTGCCTTCGTTGGATGTCGATTTTGATTGTCTTGTGTACTCTAACGGCAACCATTTCCAGAGAATTTGTTGTTATTGAGCGGGTGACATTTAAACTGATAAACTCTCTTCGAAACAAACTTTGTAGTATAATAGATAATATTGCGACAAATAAGCAATTTACTTTAGTTCATTACAAATACATTTAACGGTGGTAACGCGTGGTAGTAACGCGCCACGAATTCACATGGCAGTCGGGCAAAAACGCTTATTGAGTGAAGTGCAATAAAAATTTGGCGGGCAGTTGGGTCTCACAGCTCACTTGGTAGAGCACCGGGTCTGAAACTTGGTGGTTTCTGACTCAAATCCCGTTGCGGCTTAAATCTTCATTACTCCTTTAAACACTACCTAATACAAATATATTCATAATGAATTGATTATTTACACAATGCACAAATTTCACATGTATATGGCCAATTTAATTTAGTTGGACAAATCCCTAGCAGTGATTGCAACGTCAAACACAGACATCACAGCTGTTGTCTTGGGTCAACTAGAACACCAGACCATAAAAGCCTAGTAAGAACAAGACCAGTGGATGTTAGTAAGCTTAAAAATTAGGAGAAAAGTCAAACTATACATATGCATGAAGTTATACACAATTACACATGAGGATGGGAGAGACAGCCTTAAGAACTTACTTAGTTGGATGGAGGGAAAGATTGATAACCGAATGAACACTAAATATTTGCAACAGGAATGATTCCGCACTTGTTCCAGATATATAGAAAGTTTGACTATCTTTGTCACAAAGAAGGAGAGAAGATTGGAACGAAGTAAACCTTGTCTCAAAGTTGTAAAGTCACCTGATATGAACAAGGACAGTAAATTATGTCCCATACGTTATTTAGTAAATAATGTTGTTTCACTTTTTCATATATCTGAAGAAATATTGACCTAAAAGATCTAACCTAAGACTTACAATCTACTACGGTGCTACGGTTTACTCCAATGCACTACTTAAAGGACCAATAACTTGAAATGTTACTACTTTGTTTAAATCGATTCCTTTCGCCATCATTTTTGAACTGATATTCATGATGCAAACGAACATAAAATATAAGGTTTTTGAGAAAAAGAAAAGCAATCTTCAGGTTACCGTTTTAAGGTGCATACATTTCGCACGATAGGCTTTCTTGGTTGAGTACAGTTAGCCGTATCTCATTATTTGACTTTGCTGTTCGAAAGATTTTTTCAGAAACAAACGAATATCGCTTTCTCAATGAATAAGCGTTCTCTTAAGACATACAGCGCACTCAAAGTGTAAAAGATATCCAAGGATACTTGTCAGGCCACTAGGCTTTGATAAGTGTTTTCATAATAAAGCAAAATGTGGGAGCACCAAGTGGCAGAAAATTGGAACACTTACGAAGTACAAGTAAAATTATTAATATTATTATTATTATATCCTTCACACCTAAAGTGGATGCATGACATAGATAAAATTGTGAGACGCAAATATTCTCCCATTAGTTTACTTGACACCCTTATCTCTCATTTTTGCATGTTTGTTCAAGACGTTTTAAATTTAACTACGGGAAAGAAATACATCTATATTTCCTAGGAAATTAGTATGAGAAATCAGTTGGTTGTTACTTTGACTATTCTTAATTTCTGTTTGTTGAGTGATTAGAGTAAAGCTGGTTGCTAAGTTTAGCATTTATGCAAAATGCAAGTAACAATGACTCCTGTTTCAACTCCCTTGAAGTAGCTATACTGTATATGACAATCTTCTAATCACCATCATCTTAGATTTTCATAGTTTGTTAGAAAACTGTAAAAAAATTAGATGAGAATGCAGTGTTTCCGAGATGAAGGTTACAGATACTACAAGTGTGCATGCTTCCTGTTTCTTGTTTCACATAATTTTTGCTAAATATAGCCAAAATTAATGCTAACTATTCACGATAAAGATTTCTCAACCTTTCTTGGTGAACAATGACTGAAAATGTATTAGAAATGTGTTACGCTAGTGGTTAGAAAGTAACCTTACCAGAATATATGACTGGTACAGTGTTGGACTGAATTATGACCAATGAATCTGGTTACCTCAGTCAGCAGACGTAAGATTTTGTCCCATGGGTGATCAGTCATAAAGAAACCCTCAGAATGTTAGGTGGGTAATGACTGATTTCCAACTGACGATTTTTATCTAGCTGTTAAATAAAACCTTTCTCAATTTAGAGATTCGTTTCCGGAAACTTTTTTTCCTGATTAGTATTAAAAGCATAGTTTCATAAAAGATCATTTCTAACTCTGAGGATAAACATGAGTATTTAAAGATCATCTCAAAACATCCATCGTTTGATCCTGAGCACAATACCACTAATAATATATCAAATATTGGGTATGCTCGAAATTGTAAATACACCATATTTCCTGGGCTATAATTGACTGGATTATATGTATCACATGAATGATATAGCACAGTAGGAAGCTTACTGTATTCCATTAAACCTTCTACATTTCAACAGTAATAACGATTCACCAAGAGATTTTTTTGGGATAGACAAGCGGGGAATGAAGAATACAACTGAAATCCGTTAAACTACGAAGTGCAATCTAAAGTGTTACGTATTCTTCGAAACTCTTTCACATGTGAATGATCACTTTTAATCAACATATCTTTGTAATATCTGGCTTGTCATTTTAAGAAAAAACTCCAAATATTTGAGTCAGAAACCAAGGCAAAGTGTGTAGACAGAGATCCCTTTCTTTGATGTGGAAAGCACTACAAACTGTCTTCATCTGAATAACTTCTCATTTTTCGATATATGATTTATTGTGGCAGTCATGTTTATATTGTATGTTTATTGCATGATTTGAGATATCTCGAATACAACATTTAACAATAATCCAACTCTAAGATGTAGATAGCTTATCAACTTGAAGCGTTCGGTTCACATTTGGTGTTTTTTTGTATGCTGATTAGTCGACGATTTGGAGGCAATACACGCATAGATTCCAAAGTATTTGGAACTTATAAGTCCATTAGTTCAGTTTTCAAAAAGGCTATTTAGAGGAGGACTGCCACAATGTAATGCACTGAATTTTGTTATTGAAATGATTACGAGCATAATACACTTATACAAGGAATCATCCATGGTCTGCATGGCTTAGTGATATCAATTTTAGGAGTTTCTGAGAAAAAAAGTTTCTTAAATATGCACGGAAAAGTGGGTAATAAGCTGTTTCCTTGTCAACTGAGCAAATATACCTAACACTGAAGTATAGTTCAACTTGCTGTTGACCCATTTTTGAATGGTTATATACAACAAGTGGTGGTCAGAATGCAATAAGCAGTCAGATTATCGCACTAGGGTAGTACATTATGACTACTGTGCAAAGTGTTCGGTCGAGTTTCATGACAGATTTTATTGTAGAATCTGTTAATATCGCACAGAGGTTTCAGCTTTTCCATGTAGATATCTATTCTTTCCATCACATCAGTTGAACTGGCAATAAATCGGGTCACCTAACGGGATTAAAGAAGTCTGTTTCTGTCTGACCTAAGTGAATTAACTGTTTTGAGCAATTTCCCTACACTTACTGACATGAGCACTAGCCTTAATAACGTGTTTAGAATACCGTTGTGCATAAATAAATCGCTATTACACTTGTTCACTAACAACGTTAAACAACAATCAGTTGGCACAGGAAATCGTGGATAAAAAGGTTAGATGGCACTAAAAAAAGTACTAAACACAGACTATTATAAAATCGAATAGTAGAGTTGAAGAGCATCTTCTAGAGTATTTAAAACTCTTATTTGATGAGACGGTTTTGCCTCAAGTACATACTAGAAAAAAACCTATACATTAAGATTTCGAAGACAAGGACATTTATTTTTCATCCTTTTCTAACTGAATTATTCATTCGATTTTCATATTTTTCTCTTTGGAATTACCTTATTACAAGGCATTCCAGATGTGATGCTGAGTACATGCACGTTAGGGTTATCTGTAGATTTAGCTAGAACAGTTGAAAGAAATTCTAGCTATGCAAATAAAAACAAACTATCTTCTAGGTCAGCGCACAGAAATAAGTATTTTAACTATGAAATTTCCTGTTTTCAGTCATCGAAATCAATTGGCAGTTTATAGTTATACTGATACACTGAGTAAAATTAATTCTCCTTATGTTGATGGTCTGTGTTAAAAGTTTCAGTTATCTTTAAGGATGACTGAGGTTTAGACTTTAAGCTTGTGACAAAAAGAGAAATCATTTTTTAAAACATTAAGACAAAGTTAAATTATCAACACAATGAAGTGATTTATGATACGTATAAGGTTAGTTTATAAGTTCTGGGTAGTCTTTACAAACTCTTCATAGTAGAAATATGTTGACTAATATATGCATCAAATATGTATAGACACTTGTATATACCATCTGTTGACTTATCATGTTATTTTACTTTCAATTAAAGCTCCGGATAGTTCGTCGACAACCGATCATTCAACTCCATTAAAGTCTAACATATGTGATCCACTTCAACCACCAGTTTCAGTCCGGGAAATAAATAAAGAGATTGATCCACGTCGGATAATGATTAAAAGAACAATAGGTGAAGGTATGTTGAACAATGTTTTTTCATTACAAAATAAATCGGTTAACTGCTATCCTTCAGCCTTACTAAATTACCAATCAAACCAATAATTAAACTTTTTACATTCTTAAACAGCAGAATTTCACGAATGAGAGTAAATTTATGAAATGTCCTGTGTTCGCCAAATGCTTCTTCCATAAGGCAGGGTAATAGATATTTGCAAAACGTTTGTTATTTCGATTCTTTTTTGTTTTTTGAGATGAAAAGCTCCTCATGGAGGTGAATAGTGCTAAGCAAGATCAAGAGGAAATAATAATTAGTTACATGGTCAGAACAAGACTTCCAAACGTCCCAGTGTTTTAGTCCTATGATTGCTGTTGTTAACGAAATATGACTGAAAATAACGAACTGCCACCCTAAGCATAAATGATGAAATACTGGTATGTTGGAAACATTAAACAAGCATAATCAGATGCATTATTCTCAGACAGTTGTTTAGCAGGGTCTATATTGACGTCTATTGTATAATTCCAGTTGTGTAGTGAGGATACTTGTGGAGTTTCGATTTTAATTTATGTGCTTAAAACATAAAAATCATTACGTAACGTTATAAAATAATGATTAAATACATCAGAAGTTAAACTTCGCCTGGTTAACTAGTACACTAGTTACTAGCCGGTCCTAAGCCCAGGTAAAGAGGCAAGGTTAGGCATATGGCTAGCGACCTCACGCCGGAAAACTAAAGCCAACAACCAAAGAAACTTCAAAGCACAGACGATCATAAGAAATAAAAATAAACTTATTGCTCGCTGGAATCGGGGAGGCAAAATGACGTCGGTTGGTGAAGGACTTCGGGAAGCCAACCGGCCGATGTGTTTTCTCTCTCTCGATGAAAGCGAAAATGAACATGGGGACATGGAAGGTCTGTACAATATCCGAAGCTGGCTGACAAAGCTGCCCAGATTGCAAAAGAGATGATAAGGTATGGCATAGGAGTGTTAGGCTGGGAATCTTTGAAAGCAGATGAAATGGAAGTGGACTGTCCAAACTGTAAACTGGAGAGTCAGTAATCTACTCCAACATTGTCACCCAGACGACAACCATGAGCACACTGAGTTCTTTAGCGGCTATCATGATATCCCCGAGAGCATCGAAGGCTCTCATGCAGTAGGAACCAATCTCCTTCTGCAACGTCAGGATCATGACAGCAGGATTCAACTCAAAAGGAAGGAAAGTCACAATCACATAATACTACTCTACGCCCTTACAAATGATGCAGATGAAGAGAAGAAGGAGGAATTCTACACACAACTGCAATCAGTACTGGACAAGACCCCATCCCAGATGCCGACATCAAAGTTCTAGTGGGTGGTGTGACATGAATGCCAAACTGGGAGCAGACAATGCAGAGACAATGAAGAGAACTGATCATGGGTCGAGAAGAACTCTGTGAAATGATGAAGGAGAATGGAGAACTGTTTGTGATTTTCTGAGCATTCAACGATTTGATGATTGGAGGCAGTGTGTACAAACACAAGGATATTCACAGAGTGACATAGATTTGATTTCACGAGACACCAGGACTCACTACACTTAAAATCAGATCGACTTCATCTCGATGTGAAGAAAGTGGAGATGGAGATGCAGCCAGCCTACTGGACACAAGATGAAGAAGGGGAGTAGATGTAGGTGGTTGACACCACTCACTATCTAGTGCAAGGAATCTTCCAAATCAAGCTGAAAGCCTTCAAGGAAGTTGGTGATAGACCACAGTTCACGCTCAACACCCAGAACTGAAACTGATTTGAAGGACGAAACTACATAGGATATCTTCACGTCAGACAGACATCAAGACAAATTAGGAGATACTGAGCAACATTCCTGACGGATCGGGCGAGGTAGAACACTGGGATTCTTTGAAAGAGATGTGGAAAGAAACCTGCATAACCGCATGAGGAAGGAAGAAGCAGCGAGACAAGTAAAAGGTCTCAACGGATGTATGGAAGCTGATGGAGGAGGGAGAGAAAATGGTGATGTTGAAGCAGAAGATGAACGATTCCAGTGCAGTGCAGTGCAGTGCTGGGATAAACAACGAGAAGAGGAACTGAGCACAACCTATCAAACAATGCACTAGACAAAGAAGTGAAGAAGTGTGCACGCAAAGACAAAAGACACTTCTACGACACACTGGCAAGTGAAGCATGACAGGCTGCTGGTAGGAGAGACAGAGACCTGACAACACTATATCAAATAACCAGGTTACTCTCTGTGATTTAAGAGACCAACACAGATGAAAGCAATGAGACACAGTGATGGCAACCTAGTCACCAAAGAGGAGAAACGAAGGAAACGATGAGCTGACCAGTTCAAAGAGATCTTGAATCGACCGAAATCTTCCCAAGAACTGACGACAAAAATCATGCTCCCGTCCACCCAAAGCAAGCAAAATATTATACCGCATCATCCTGGAGAGACTAAAGAATGAGCTGAATTCAAAATTACGACTGGAACAGACTGATTAGCTGGCTTCAGGAAGATCAAATCATATGCACATCAATTTGCAACGCTACACTATGCATCATCATAGAACAGAGTGTAGAATGGCAATCAACTCTCTACCTTACCTCAAATTCATCGATTTTGAAAAGGCCTTCGATAGCGTCAACCGACAAGTAATTTGACAAGCAGTTGCTTCAACACTACGGAATCTCACAAACCTTTATCAAACTCATTCAGCAGCCGTATGCTACATGATGAGGCTACATGTCAAGCGATTGACAATGGGAAGCTCAGTGATGCATTAATAGTGAAGACGGAAGTAAAACAAGGCTGTCTAGTATCACCGACCATCTTCCTGATTGTGTTCGACTCGACTGGATCATGCATCAAACAGTGAGGAGCAGTGAGAGGATGGGCGGGCATACTCTGGCTGAGCTGATGTGGAGAACCTAGAAGATTTGAATTTATATCCAATATCTTGTCGCACAAACTCAAATATCTACAGTCTATGAGTAAATGACAAACATACACAAGCTTGTAAATTCATTTTTTCTGGTGAAAATTTAGTAGCTTTTTACTTCGTGAGACTAAACAACTACTTTGATAATATAATCAAATTCTTTGGCGTACATATATTCCACCATAGTTTTGAAGTGCTATTATTTGATTTATTACAGTTAGAAAGATTTAAGTTTGACAACTGGTATAAAAATCTGAGCACAGGTAAACATTTGATTGTCATTTTACTTCAGCAAAGGGGAGAGTTCATTAAGTTTCTAATGAATGAGGCCAAACACCTGTCTTACAACCTCCTTTTATTCCCGATAGATAACTTGTGACCTAAAATTTGCTAGTGTTTCATGAATGTAACTTTATAACTGATCACAAAAATCTTGATATGTATATCTTGGATTCTGAGTGAATTGTTTTTTGCCAAAATGCTTCGTTTAACTGTTTCTTGACTAATCCTGTTGGTACACTAGTAGAGAAAACCAATCAAATTACAAACAGGTTCCTAGATCTAAGACTTTATCAACAACTATTCTATTTATATGTAATGATGCATGCTTGTGATATTCCTTTGAGTTGTATATTAAGCACTTGTCAATGATTCATGAAAATAAGCCCAATTCACAGTAGGTATAGGGAAGTGCACACTATTTTCGATGAACTTTCCTGGCGGTTTCACGTCTCAGATACCTTACGTATCAAGTTTATATAATGAGATTTGGTACTTTTTACTATCTTTCTCTTGAAATTATATTAATTTCATAATTACCGTGATTTTTAGACGAAATTTTTTGAAACATTTGCTGACTAAAAGACCAGTAAACACTGTTGATTTTTGATAGAGGTTGTGCATTGAAGATGACATGAAAACCTTAGTCATGGCTAGATTCAAACTGGCTGGCGGTAAATTACTAACCAGATGGTCTACCAACTGAGTTATGAGATTTGCTCATTGACTTGGTCTTCTCTTTGCCTCGGTCATTTATTCTGCATAGTTGATTCGTCGACAGTTACACGGATAAACATGTGATAGACACAGCGAGGATATAAATATTCTGCTTTACTGTGGTGTTATCAAACTGTCTATTACCCTAACATTTACTAAATTAACATATCGGGTTGCCGTTTTTCTGCTAGTAGGGCAGTTCTTTCCAAGATAAAATAATTGGTTACCTTAGCAGTTGTTGGGATGGCTGTGAAAATTATTTATTATCGTGAAATGATGGAAAAGATTTGAGGTTCGGGATGAGGATGATGGTGGTTTGGCGTTCTCTGAGCTTTGATATTTTGTCGTGAAAGATTCATTACTAGGCTTAGTGACATCTTCAGCAGTATGGGCATAAAGAAGTCAGCCACTCACTATGGTGCAATTATAGGCATTAAACAAACCTAATCTTCTAAAGACATAGTTATCAAATAAAATTCTCTAGTAAGTGTAGCGTGTTTTAACTTTGATATGTGACTGTGATGATTTCGTTAGCAGACTTAGCAGCATCTTCAGCACTTATACGGTAAATAGTTAAAGCATGATTAAAGGTTAAGCTAATGGCTAGACGTCGTTTTTGCCAGCTTTGGAAACTATCCAGCTGCATATTAAAGAAAAGATTTGTAACACTGCATGATGCATCTAATAATAAATTTCAACAGAGATTAAGAAACGATTTCCAAAAGAAACAAACGAAACTAGCTGTCAGCAAACTGCGTGTTGATTCGCTTACTCTGATGTTTGTTTTCTTCCTAGATAGATGGAATGAACCTATATCCACTTCTCTGTTGATCCAAGTTTCACCTGAAAGACAGGCTTCTGCAAACTCTTTTACAGCTTTTGAACCTGCTTGTTATAGAAGTTCTACAACGTCATTTCGAAACTTTTCACTACGGTTAGATCAGATATGTTGGAAGGCGACTGAAAACCATGGAAAGACTGACATCTGTTACAGCCCAGTTTTCAGCTGCCTAGGAGTCCACACTCAGAGAATGATGCTGAATCACACTCATATATTCAGGTCTGTCGTTGATCATGTTGTCATCCGATGTCTTGCATTCCCCAACCTCCAATTAGTGAGTTTCTTGAGCATGTCTTACTTAAAAAAACGCCCAGCGCTAATATGTGACCCGTCCTGAAACAGATTTCCCAGAGTTCAAGCCAGAGGATAGGCAATATACAGTCACTGAGTTTGGTGTGCAAACAAGTACTTGGTGAGGATACGAGATTTTGTTCTTCCTGTTTCACAAGTAAACACATGCTGGATTCGGATCCAGGTTCTGAATAGTCAGTTTCATGTAAAGTCGTGAGTGTACACTCATGATAAATCTTTAGGTAGACGGAGGTAGATATCCGTTTCCTCTTAATTTTCAATGGTCAACTGCCTGACATTGCGGCACGATGAGGACTGTTTGAAAATAAACAAGTTTACTGGAAACATTCAAACTTAAAACAGTGATATTTGAATAGCAGAAAACATTGTATCATTATAACGCTGTTGCTTGTATTATCCCGTCGCTGGGTGAACCGCACTGAAGAGTCTTCCTTGGCATATGGGCTCCTGCCTAGATACCCCGATATTTCCTGTGTTTGAATTAGATATTAATGATGGATAGTGGCTTGCAGTGGAATATGGGACGCGCTTTCCGTCTTATTTAGGATTCGTCAGCTGAATGTACCTGCATCCCAGTATGGAATCAGATGGTACTTCTACACGTGCGTGAATAACTATTAGCTTGTTTCGGCAATGTTGGAGTCGACCAGAAGCTCATTAGTTTACCAACGGCAGAAAGATCGAGTAATTGTCATTATGTCCTCTTCAGTATTGAAATATGCTTCTCAAGCACTGCTATCTAAAATTTATGTATGACTTCCAAAAAGGTAAGATTTGAAGAATTGGCCATAAACACTACTTCCTTCTTGATTATAAAATGCCTATGTCCTACTCATACTAAACAAAATAAAACCTCTTTGCATCTGTTGACTCACCATTCTAAACGATAACTCAATAGTGTTAAAAGTATTGAGCCAGAGATTTGAAATACTATCGTGAAAAGGTAGGAGAAATTGCCAGTTGGTAGCCCTGAATTCAGAAAAATTCCACAGTAGTACACTGCAATGTGATGTTAAATTTATGATAGGTATTGGATGATAGTGGAATCCAGGGGGCCAGCTTCATTCTATTTGCGACTCGAAAGCCAGATGTACCTGCCTCCCAGAGAGTGACCCTCAATTTATAAGAAAAAATTCGATGTAAAAACATCAATAAGCACTAATGCAATAATTCAAGTTATCTCTTCCATTATCTTCTCAATCAAAATGAAATTCTTTTTCATCCTAACAATTTGAACAGGTGAATTCGGGAAAGTATGCGCCGGGGACTTTGTAATTTTGCCTGAGAATAAACTTCAACTCGTTGCTATAAAAATGCTACACCCAAATGTTAATGATAAAACGCGTCAAGACTTTTTAACAGAAGCCAATACAATGAGTCAGTTGGACCATCCAAATATTGTACAACTGATTGGATTAGTGACCAAATCTGAACCTAAGATGATAGTTATTGAATTTATGGAGAATGGTTCATTAGATAATTATCTACGGGTAAGTGAAGTTTTGTGAAAAACGACCGTGTCTCTTCTAATTTGAAATTCCCATGAGATTTATGATGAATACTTTCCGTTTCCGCCAAAACACTCACATTTATCAAGTGAGAAAATCCAAATTATCTTGCATTTTGTTCCTTCTGTTGCTGAAAAACTACTTCTAATACCGTAGCGAGACAATTTCTTTCTGCTTGAAAACATGCAATCGCTTAAACGTTTGAACGTTTTGATGTTATTGGTTGTGAATTCTCGTCGTTGATTGGACACGATTGATCCGCAAATGTTTTCATATAACCTCCTGTGCGGTAACCTAACTATTGACAGTAGTTTGTATTTGATGGCAGTGAAATTCAAGACATACATTATTTCCTATTAACAATGTACCCTTCTGCCAGTGAGTTATGTGGCTGCCACTAAAACTCGAACCTATTCCTCGTTGCTTCGTGCGCCAAGGTATTGTCCGCTACACTACTAATACGCTTACTTATTCTGATGCAGACCAGTCAAATGAATTCCTAAGAGTTTTTCAATGAATCACGTTTTAAAAATAACACACGTCTACTCTTATTTTAATGTTGATATATATGTCGCCGTCTACCATACTTGCTGAAACCATTGGGTTTAGAGGATTTCGACTTCTTTGAATTCATGCAGGAATCTAGTGATGAGCTAATAGTTTGAAAACTGGGTGTATGAGGTTTCTTGACTTTCATTGAAACAGTTTCAGATTACCTACTCATTCACATTTTTAACTGATCAAACAAAAAGTTGATGAACTCATCAAAGAAGCTTTAATCCGCATGAAAGCGAAATCCTTTGTTTGGGACGGGAATCTTATCAAGATCTCAAGCAACAATGTTTGGTAAAAATCATATTGAGCTGAAGACGGTGTTTATTCAAAAATTAACAGCTACATTCACTAACTGCTATCGTTAGAATAAAATAGTAGGAAGTCAAAGTTAATCTGTTTATATTGCAATCAACGAACTGTAGCTGCCAGCTAAATGTAGACGACAGAAGTTTTTAAAGACGGATTTTCCTCGGATCGTTCCAAATAAGAAGTGAATGTCAGTAGATCGTATAGCTAATGTAAATGAATGATTATTTCATGGTTAAAGACTTATTTCTGCACTTAGTTGGGATGTTACTAACTAAAAAAGACAACTGGTTTAGTTTATTGCCAATAGACAATCATTTAACCAGGGTGTATTTCACAATTGAAGCTAAAGTGATACCATCTAAGTTCGTAAAGTATCCTAGGTACTAATACATTTGTCCAAATATTATTGTGCAACTTGTAGTTGTTTTCGTCACATTATCTTTCAGACTGTCAGCTACTTCATGCTTTAGACCAAGTTCAAATATATCAGTGAAGAAAAACATGATTGCAGAGAAGAAAATTTTTTTTTAAGTCGATGAAATCATTCTCTTAGTTGTACATTCATGAATGTATGGTAAAACGTACGAAACATTCCAAAGTAATTCCTGCTCAGAAGTCAATATGGATTGCATCACAAAGAAAAGTTACCTGATGGAGGAATAAATATGATGATAAAATAAAATTAGTTGTGTTATATGTGGCTAGCTGAAGCATTAGCAATTCTAGAATTCAAACCACCGTTATGTGTTCAAAAGACTTGCGGACAACCTCTTTCTTCTCTTTGGCCATCGTAAATTATCAACCACTCCGAATAACTCGTACATAACATAACTATTTTTATTTTGTCGTCATTTTGTTTATCTCTCTATTACCTTCCTTGGTGATGCCGTTTATATTGAACTTTGACAAGGAATTACTCTGGAATGTCCTACCCTTCTTACCTCATATCCATAAGTGTACATCTAAGAGAGTGATTTCACCGACTTGAACAATTTTTCTTAGCTGTAATCATGTGTTTTTATATGTTTAAATAGGATTGTTTGGACATCAATGAGCTTAACTCAAGTCATACCAACAAATCCTTTCTACGGTGGTAATGTGGAATGTCATCGATTTCGAAATACTGTTAGCGCTCTTCTAAATGATATGTTCAGTATGTGAATTGGCTTGATAATATCCTAATATAAGGGCCGTAGATAAGACACTCTGATTTTAAGTATGCAGAAGATTAGCTGGAAACTATCCGAAATCTATTCTATCTGTAAAAATAAATCCTTATTTTTCTGAAATCTGCCAGTCTGCATCTATGATAAAGCATTCTTTCTTCTAAAATTATCAATAAGCACCATTTTTGACTGTTGAAAAATTCCTTATTTAGGAAATATTACCACTGAAGGTGAATTCAGAGAATAAATGTATTTCTTAGGAATTGGAAACATTTGAAATGGTCTTTTTTACAAGATATTTGGTGTCAAAACTTGTGAAATATTTATTGCATAAAGATAAAATGAAGCCTTTTGAAAATTTATTTGGCAATATAAGAAAAAGACAGTAACCAACATTGATGAAGTAGAATGTTATTGGTGGCAAGTAAAATCTACAGGAAATCACGAATCTTTTACAAGAAAAGTAGTATTTTTTTGGAAGAAATAAAACTCATCTACACTAACTCTAAAGATCTACCAGATTTTTAACCGTAAAGAAAAATTCCTAGGCAGTTTTTGCATATGAAATACAATAAAATGGCATCCCACATATTGGTGGCAAAACCAAAAGTTGGTGTGAAACATCAGTTATATTTACATAAATCTTAACATGTTTTAAGTTAAATAATGCTAACCCTTCATGTGAGAATGTTACCCTAGTTTCTTCAAAGAAATAATCAAAAATGTGTACACAATCTCTTTATTCAGTCCTACTTGTATAATCATCTTTCTGCGAGTTCGATTACTAACCATTCAAGGTAATGTTACATGTATTTTGTTGTGTAAATTACGTTTTGTTATTCAAAATGTGAAGCAGACAGAGTCACAAGTCACACTATAGTGATTACTTCATTTCACATGCATATGCAATGAATATTTACACCACTTATTTCAAAGTACGCGGATAAATGGACGGTTGAAAATTTTCATGGTGCTGATAAAGCAATAGTAATCCTTTGGAAGTATTCTTTCAGATAAATGAAGATGTAAACAAATAAAAACTATATCTACACAATTTTTACCATTTTCTTCGGTGATTCAAATTGTGTCCTTAACACTTTCGAAACCAAAAGGCGTAAAACGTTTAGATTCTAACTTTACATTTTTGAAGTTAAACACGGCTGAAGAATTTGGAAAACAAAGAGTTAAATAAGATCAGGGTCATTACAATTATTAAACAGTATAAATGCTCTTACATATAGAGAAGGGTGTTATATAAGTGTTCGATTAATAATTTAGGTGCATAACAACTTGTGCCGTCTGTTTTGCCCAAAAACTGTCTTTTTAACGATGCTAAGCCTTACTAGTTTATTATCCTACTTATTCCAGTTTTACGATCATAAAGTTGCTGTTCGAGAAATAAGTTTATTATGACAGATGAGATTACATCCAGAAAATTCCTCCACGATTCCGCTGCAGTATTTTTCTGAGGTATAGGTCATTTGTAGTTATAAAACTAAGGATGACCAAGAGTTCTGAAGAAAGATTTGATGGCAAATATGTGAAAAACTGGTAATTTTGTTGTGGACACAATTATGTAGGTCTGCCTCTCTTCATTTGACTGTACATAGATAAACCTTGTCACAGAGGACTGATTCTCATACGTGGGCTATGCAGATCATATAGTCTTGTTAGATGGGGGTACAGACAAAATGTCTAGTCACTTGTACACTTTGAGTGGCAACTTCAGGATGTTTGTGTTCCTCACCATTAAGGTGAAAATTGTTGCTTCAGGTATAGGTCTATGTGGGTGGCATGTTCAACAATAGGGACTGAAGTGGCTGAATCCTCTAACTACTCCACTTACTCCAGAGCTTAGATCAGCCACGATGGGCCAGCGACATGGAAATCCTCTCCGCTAGTACGAAAAGCTTGCTTGACCTTTACCAGCTTGTGTTATTCATGGCGTTACCATGATATCTGATCACCTACTAATGACTGAATGTGCTGCCTTGCAGATGGCTTTTTTAGACTATGCGGCTGTCCCTCACAGCCATAAAAAGTGAAAGTCAAAAGAAGGCTTAATGTGCTCGACTACCGTTGCCCTCGCTAGTCAGGTCATGGAACCAACAAATCTGTGACGCAGGTGTCTGGCGTAGAGTTTTGTGCAGAAGAGGAGAGTCAGCTGATGAGCCTGTGAACCTTTATCAACTTAGACGGCTGGGGTATGTGTCACATATCTCTAGTCACCGCCTGCTACTTAACAAAATATCAGCTAAAATCATTTTAGGCTAGGAAATAAGAGGTGCCTAGACTATAGTGTGGCATCAATCCTTGAAGCCTCTCACTGTTGATTTCAGTTGGATGGAAAAAGAAAACTCCCCAATAGGAATCCATATGACAGCTGGAGTCAGGGGTTAAAGTCTGCAAAAGATATGTCTTGGAATCCATCTCAGAGTTACGAAAGTATGCTGCCCCTTTCTCCATCATAATTGTCACAGGGAATTTTATTATTGTTTCATTTCTTCCTGCGCACTTTCTACAACTTTCTACCAATTTCGGCTGCTTTCTGTATTATTTCTCTTTTTTCCATCTTACCGCCTTTCATCATAATATACTGGTATAGAAGTGAGTGTGATGTAGATTTTTAAAAGCGAAGTGCAATACTAAATCGGTTCACCCGCAGCATTTATTGATTGTTATTTAAAGTACTCCTTATTCCGTGAATATTGAGAGGAAGATTCACGTATAGCTACTTATCACCTATGTTACAATGGAGACGAAAAAGAAGTTAAAACCATTCCTAATCCCAATGTCTGCTAGTTTACATATTGGTCTGATCGCTTAAAGTGTATAGAAAATGAGGGATTTAAAAAATTATGGTCCTATCCAATGGGCGAAAACTATTGGTGGTTCTCAGAATCAGTAGGTCCAGCCGTTGCTAAACTACGAATATTTGGCAACTCCCTTGAA